TGCTCCGAGGCATCGAGGAGGTCCACGTGAACCCCGCCCTGCTGAGGCCCCTGGAGCTGCAGGTGGACCCCGAGTTCCAGAGGGTGCGCTCGGACGAGAAGGAGCAGATCAAGGCCCTCAACAACAAATTCGCCTCCTTCATCGACAAGGTGGGTCCCGGGGCAGGTGTGAGTCACGGCAACACCCCCGTGTTGCACCTTCTCCCCCCAGAATCCCAGGATTTGGCTGAATCCCTGTGAATTCCTGCTGGGATGCTCCCAGCTGGAGCTGTGTGGATCACTGGTAGCCCCGGGATGAGTGTCTCCGAGTGGCAGGACAATAAAACCACCAGGACAATAAACCACTCGTTAACTCGCTCCTCTTTCCAGGGAAAGGGTTTCTGGGAACGTCCATCCCTCTCTCCCGGTGCCTGGGGATTGTTGGTGGCAGCTGGAAAAATCGGTGGTGGGTTTGGACATCCCTGTTTTTCCTTTTGATCTGGTTTTTTTTTCCTCAAGCAAAGCAAACCTTCCCTGAATCCTTTGTTTGGAGGTCCTGCCTCTCCCAGGCCATCGGGGGCCTCCACACCTTCCCTCTCCACCTCGTGCTCTGCTCTCCCTCTCTCTGCAGCTTTGGCTCCTCTCCTGCTCCTCCTCGGGGTCAGGAGGAGCGGGACAGCCCCAAAATTCCCCCGTGGGGTCATCCCTGGGGTGACCCCGGGCCCTACTGGGGTGGGAGCTGTGGGGGCTGGGACAGGGGGACACCTCAGGGCTCCCTGGGCAGCCCCACACAGGAGGGGTTGGTTACACCCGTGAGGTCAAAACATCCCCAGCCCCCGAAAATCGGAGGGTTTGTGATTCCCTTTCTCCCCCCAGAATTTTGGGTCTCAGTTTCCAGGTTCGGTGCCAAGGAATCGTGGAATGGTTTGGGTTGGAAGGGACCTTAAAGTCACCCCATCCCACCCCCTGCCATGGGCAGGGACACCTCCCACTGTCCCAGGGGGATCCAACCTGGCCTGGGACACTTCCAGGGATGGGGCATCCTCTGGGAAATCCATTCCAGGGCCTCCCCACCCTGCCAGGCAGGAATTCCTTCCCAATATCCCACCTAACCTTCCCCTCCTCCAGCTGGAAGCCCCTCATCCCTTGGCCTGGCTTTGTCCAGGTCTGTCTCCAGCTCTTGGAGCCCCCAGGGAAGGAAAATGACCTTTAAAGGGTCACTTCCAACCCAAAATGTTCAGGGATCCCATGAAAATGAACAGGCAGGAATACAGGAAAAGCTGCTCAATCTTGGAATAATTGAGGGGGAAAATGATGAAACTGGAATGGTTTGGGTTGGGAGGGACATAAAAGCTCATCCCACCCCCAGCACCGGGCAGGGACACCTCCCACTATCCCAGGGGGATCCAACCCGGCCTGGGACACTTCCAGGGATCCAGGGGCAGCCACAGCTTCTCTGGGAAATCCATCCCAGGGCCTCACAGCCCTTGTAGTCAAGGATTTCTTCCCAATATCCCCCCTAAATCCCCCCTTTCCCAGTGGGAAGCCATTCCCTGTGTCTGTCCCTCCAGCCCTTGTCCCCAGTCCCTCTCCAACTCTCCTGGAGCCCCTTTAGGAATGGGGCTCTCCCTGGATCCTTCCCTTCTCCAGGGGAACATTCCCAGCTCTCCTGGAGCCCCTTTGGGAATGGGGCTCTCCCTGGATCCTTCCCTTCTCCAGGGGAACATTCCCAGCTCTCCTGGAGCCCCTTTGGGAATGGGGCTCTCCCTGGAGCCTCCAGGGGAACGTTCCCAGCTCTCCTGGAGCCCCTTTGGGAATGGGGCTCTCCCTGGATCCTTCCCTTCTCCAGGGGAACATTCCCAACTCTCCTGGAGCCCCTTTAGGAATGGAGCTCTCCCTGGATCCTTCCCTTCTCCAGGGGAACATTCCCAGCTCTCCTGGAGCCCCTTTGGGAATGGGGCTCTCCCTGGATCCTTTCCTTCTCCAGGGGAACATTCCCAGCTCTCCTGGAGCCCCTTTGGGAATGGGGCTCTCCCTGGAGCCTCCAGGGGAACGTTCCCAGCTCTCCCAGCCTGTTTCCACGTTGGGGATTCCCATCCCTCCCCTCTGGCTGTGTTTCCCCCCCAGGTGCAGTGCCTGGAGCGGCAGAACCAGGCCCTGCTGGCCAAGTGGCAGCTCCTGCAGCAGCAGAGCTCGGGCCCCGAGGAGAGCAGGAACATCTCCTCCTTCTTCCAGTCCTACATCTCCAGCCTGCAGAGGCAGCTCCAGACGCTGCAGAGCCAGAAGGAGCAGCTGGACCCCGAGGCCTACAACATGCTGCAGCTGGTGGAGGAGTACAAGAACAGGTGAAGGAGCCCCAAATTTGGGGAGGGGAAAGGGTGCTGGGGGGGGTTTTCCAGCTCGGCTTCGCACCCTGAGCCTGCAGTGGGTGCTCGGGGGGGGCTTGGCCTCGGGGGTGGAGGAGTTTGGGGAGGGTTGAACCCCCGAAATAAGAGGGAAATTGAAGTTTGTGTTGATTTATCCCACCCTCCTCCTCTTCTTCCCCCAGTCAACCCAGCACCTGCTGTGGGACCTGCTGGGAGGGACGGGGCGAGTTGGGCAGAGCCTTCAGCTGCACCCAGAGGGAGTTTGTGTCCATCCAGGCCCTGAAAAACGGGAACCTTAGTCCAGAATTCCTAAATCCAGGGCCAATCTGTGTCCATCCATTCCTAAATTCAGGGCCAATCTGTGTCCATCAGTTCCTAAATTCAGGGCCAATCTGTGTCCATCCATTCCTAAATCCAGGACCAATCCATGTCTACCAATTCCTAAATTCAGGACCAATCTGTGTCCATCCATTCCTAAATTCAGGGCCAATCCGTGTCTACCAATTCCTGCATTTAGGACCAATCTGTGTCTATAAATCCCTAAATTCAGGACCAATCTGTGTCCATCAATTCATAAATTTAGCACCAATCTGTGTCCATCAATTCCCAAATTCAGGGCCAATCTGTGTCCATCCATTCCTAAATTCAGGGCCAATCTGTGTCTACCAATTCCTGCATTTAGGACCAATCTGTGTCTATCAATTCCTAAATTCAGTACCAATCTGTGTCTATCAATTCCTAAATTCAGGACCAATCTGTGTCCATCCATTCCTAAATTTAGCACCAATCTGTGTCTATAAATTCCTAAATTTAGCATCAATCTGCGTCTATCAATTCCTAAATTCAGGGCCAATCTGTGTCCATC